AGGATGAAGACTCATTTAATTTGCATAACAGCAATAGTACTCACCAAGAAAGGGATATAAACAGAAACTTTGATGAAAATGAAATTCCACAAGAGAATGGCAATGCCTCAGTGATTTCCCAACAGATCATTCGGTCTTCAACCTTCCCACAAACTGATGTTCTTTCCAGTTCACTTGAGGCAGAACACAGGTTAGTTTTTATTTTTACTTTTTTTCCTCTGGCATTTTTAGCATAAGATTTTTATATTATAAAACTCTTATGTAATTGATTGATTTTTGTGATGCTAAGGATTTAACCTAGGTTGTTGAACATGCTAGGCATTATATCAACGAGCTAAGCCCCAGCCCCTAATTTATTTGTTTTTCTAACATGTTCATTAGGTGCAATTTATATACGGTAAATTTTACTTCTTCTGATTAGTACAGATGAATTCGATCTATTCAGAKTTGTGTAGCTAATTAGTTTTAGAACATTTTCATTATCTTTGAAAGCTATGTCCATTTGTGCTTATTTCTCAGTTTTAGACTCTGTCATAATCAGTAATTATTTTCTAACTGTAGATTTGCCTTTCATGGATGTATTGTGAGTGGAATCATACAATATGTGGTCTGCTATGTCTAGCTTCTTGGACTAACCATATTGTTTTCAAGGTTCATTTGTGTTTCAGCACATGTTACTTTTTTATTGCTGAGTAGTACATTGTATGACTGTACCTCTTTTTGTTCATTGATTAATGGATATCAGTGTCCACTTTTCTGTGGATAGTGTTACTATGAACATTTCATGTACAAGTTTTTGTGTGAACATTCCTTTATTTCTTTTGAGTACATACCCAAGGGTTGAATTCTTGACATAAGGTAACCCTTTTTTATCCTCATCAGCAATATACAGAGTTCYAGTTCTCTTTTAAAAATTTTGCTAACAATCAATACTGTCTTTCTTCATTTATAACCATTCCAATGGGTTTGAATTGGTTATCTTTTTGTGTTTTTTACTGTGCATTTTCTTGATTTCTAACAGTATTGAACATCTTTTGATATGCTTATTTACATGTTGTCTTTGGGTGAAACACCTATTCAAATACCTTGCCTGTTTTAGAATTATATTTTGTTTCTAAGTTCTGAGAGATTTTTATGTGTTATTTGCATGAGTCTCATATATATGACTTGACAATATCTTCTCCTATCCTGAGTTGTCTTTTCACTGTATTTATTTTTTAATTTATTTCTTACTTAGTTGTAGTTGGACACAATGCCTTCATTTTATTTATTTTTATGTGGTGCTGGGGATCGAACCCAGGGCCCTGYATGTGCCAGGTGAGTGCTCCACCACTGAGCCACATCCCCAGCCCCTCTTTTCACTTTATTAATGGTGACTTTGAGTTTTTATCTTAGTCCAGTTTATGCATTTTTTTCTTATATCACTTAATTCAAATGTTGGTGTGATATGAGGAAGGAGTCCAAATTTGTTTTCTAGGTGAATATCCAATTATCTCAATAGGTGATTTATTTTTTTATTGCAAACTCTTTAGCACTTTTGTTTCTATTTTTATCATTTTTAATGTTTTAAAATAGTTGTACTCGGATATTTATTTTATTATTTTTATGTGGTGCTGAGGATCAAACCCAGTGCCTCACACATGTTAAGACGAGCGCTCTTCCGCTGAGCCGTGGCCACTGTCACCATTTCCCCATGACTTGCAGAAATGTTATACCTTTACTATTGAATTGAAACAACGGCCACATGGTTCAGCAGCAAAACATAATTATTCTTCTCTCCCCCCTTTTGGCACTTGGAGTCAAACCCAGGGTAAATACAACTGAGCCATATCCCTGGCCCTTTTTATTTCAGTTTTTTTTTTTTTTTTTCCCTTTTGGTACCACAGATTGAACTCAGGAGCACTTGACCACTTAGCCACATTCCTATCCCTGTTATGTATATTATTTAGAGTTGGGGTCTAACTGAGTTGCCTAGCGCCTTGCCTAGCTTTTTTAGTTCTTTTTTTTTTTTTTTTTTTTTTTTGGCGAACACAACATCTATTTTTTTTTTTTTTGTATATGGTGCTGAGGATCGAACCCGGTCGAACCTCGCATGCCAGGCGAGCGCGCTACCACTTGAGCCACATCCCCAGCCCATTTGCCTAGCTTTTTTGCTGAGGCTGGTTTTGAACTCACAATTCTCCTGCCCCAGCCCCCCAAGACACTGGGATTACAGGCATATGCCACTGTACCTGGCCCTTTTAATATTTTATTTTGAGAGACAGGGTCTTGCTGAGTTGCCCACGTTGGCCTTGAATTTTGTCTTTCTGCTTTAATCACTCAAAGTACTTAGGATCACGAGCATGTGCCACCATACCTGGTTTCAGTTCCCTTTTAATGTAAGCTAGGAGCAGCAGTGCATTCTTATAATCCTAGCTAYTGGGAAGCTGAAGCAGGAGGATTGCTTGAACCCAGGAATTAAGGACAGTCTTGGTAATAATAGTGAGACTCTTCTGACTCTCTACCCCAAAAAATTAAATTAGAAAATTAATAAAAATAAAAATATCAAAAGGATTATAACTTTTGAACAAAYAAGAAAGTTAACTTGTTAACATATTGCTCTACAATTGCTTTGTGTATGTCAAATTGTTTTCTTACCCAGAATTATTTTCCTACTCAGAATTCATACTCTAAGAGCAGGCTTAGCATGGGGAAGTCCTTGTCAACAGTTCATTAACTTTTAAGTTTTTGCCATTTCTTTTGTAACCTCATTTAATTTTAGGACAGTAAGGAACTGGCTGATATTTACTGTGGAATAATTTTTGTGGAATTCAGCCTAAGCTCCACAGGACAGAAATTTTGTGTATTTTATTACTGTATCTAGCACTGAGAGTGGTGTACCTAAATTGTTAAGTGAATGAGTGAAGTAAAAGTTGCAGTATTTTCCTATCTATTTAGTAAAACTGTATTCATTTTTAAAGGGGATTCTTTAACTTTTTATTTGTTTCAAGTTTCCCTTCCCTTCTATTTTCTTAATGCTTTTCCGCTTTCAGCTTTTTCTTTCCTTATCCTGGGGAGTGCACGCAGAACCTCGACCATGTTAAAACACATGCTCTACCACTGAGCTATGGTCCCCAGCTATCCTTGCCCACTTAAGTTTCTTACATTCTAGTTTAAATTTCTCCTCCCATTAAACTATTTAATTTAATTAATCAAGGTTGTACCTTGATTGGTTGATGTTAGCGATTGAACCCAGGGACTTTTAACTACTGACCTGCACCCTCAACTCTTTCTATATTTTATTTTGAGACAGAATCTCAATGAATTGCTGAGGCTGGCTTTGAGCTTGTGATCCCCCTGCCTCAGCTTCCCTAGCAGGTAGGATTATAGGCATGCACCACCATGCCCTGTTACAAGATTGTACCTTTAAAAGTCTCTATAAATCTTTATCTTTATGGCTTGAATTTTACATTATTGTTATTATTACTTTATTTCTGTGATCACATTTGTTCCCCTTCTCCAAATCAGGTCCTCTATGTATGTGAGAATGTAAGCATGTGGTTTTATATAGTCTTAGACTTTTGCCTTTAAAAAGGTTTGCTTTTTCTTTCATTATGTGGTGGTGATTGAACCCAGGGCTTCATGCATGCCAGGCAAGTGTTCTACCAATGGGCATAATTTATGCCCAGTTGTTCCTAAAGTAATATAATGGTCTAATGATAAATGTGAAAGTCCATTTCTTGAGAGTTAAGTTTAGCTAGATTAATTTAGAGAGAATTCATTTCTGTGATATCTATATTTAATTGCATTTAATGTGAATAGATGAATGAGTTACTACTATTTTAATCCTTCTCAGCTTGTGGAACTCCTCTTTATCACATAATCTGGTTTATGACTTGTAACTGATTTAGGCTGTCATGGCAGCTTTGTCAAATCATAGAAAATAGTAAACATCAATTCCTGTTACTGTTTTGTTTTATTTTTGTGTTTTTCAAAACTGTGACATTTTGTTCTTTACAAAAAGACTACAGCATATAGGAATTCCAGATCCCCCCTTCCATCATTCTAATGTGTCATCTTGTATCATCCTTCTTGAAACTATTCTGTATTGTAGATATAAAATTGTGAGATTATTTTTCTATTGACCTCAGTCAACTTTTGTACATCATGCTGGTATTAATATCCTTGTGTTTGTGTCCTTGAACATGTGCATAAGTRTATTTGTTGCTAAATTACTAGGTGTGAAGTTGATTGGTCCAGTGGCATTTATTACTCGATGTCAACCAAAAATGCTCTAATTTTCACTCTCAGTCAATTAAATATTTCTAGCCAGAATTGGTAGAAAGAATGCCTGTGTATAAAAAGGAAAGTATACAAATAAATCTCATGATAGTTAAAGACGAGCAGTAAAAGTTCTTTACTTAAGGGTTGTAGTAAGAAAGTTAATCT